GTTGCAAATAAAAGCTCCCTAAATGGCCTGTACAGGCATTTCCTTTTGCCAAGGGCAATTTTTTTTTTTTTTTTTATCTAAAATAACTGCAGGTTCTGCATCTTAAAAAGGTAATGAATTTTGGTGGCAAAACACCACTGCAAATAACATCAAATCAACGAGTAACGTGGTCAGGCATGAAAACTGAGCATTCCACTTGAACTTTTTTAAGACATGCTCAGATTTACTGAATATTTGGTTATTGATTGGAAAAAACGAAAATGCAATGAAGAATGAAACAAAATCGGATACCTAGGCATATCTTAAAATAACTTCTCAGCTTTGTTCTCACGATTCTTCACTGAACAGAAATAAACTAAGTGAGAGGTTCTGTACACATTTTTAGATATTATTCATGAACATCTTTTCCAAATTTTGTGTTGAGATAAGCGAACTTTCGAGATTGAAAAATCAACATGCTCTCCGGACAGAGGAAACGGTAATGAAGGGCTCCTTTTTAAACATATTGGAGGAATGGACTCTTTTCCAATTGAATATTTAAATTTATTCATTTTAAAAGTCCGTGTGATTTGAAAAAACAATTGTAGCAGCGTACCTCTTTCCACCATCCACAGATGATTGGAATAGAATGGAATCAGTATTTTTAAAAAAAGGGGGAGCTTTCCAATTTATGTTTTTTGTTTTTTCTTGTATTTTTCTCCAGTAGTCCTTACCATATTACCTGAGAGAGCCTCTTGGAACGTGAGTGACAGGTACACAAGAATGTAAAAGTCACATAAAGGGAGCGTCACAAAGTGGTGGGGAAGGGGGGGGGTTGAAAAATTGGACTTTTTAAAGTGCTGATTCAGTGATAAAAAAGACAAATGCTTAGTCATGATAGCTTCTACAAACTTCATATTCCAGAATAAAAAAAGGAGGGAGAGACAGAAAGGAAGGGAGAGAGAAATTCACCTATATAGACCCTCATCCTAATAAGCATTGAAAGTGCACTATGCAACTGGATGAAAAAAGAAGAAGGTGTAAAAATTTAAGAATATTCCATTTGTCTGCTTCATTGGTCAATTTAAAAAACTGAAATGCTGTTGGGGCTGCCTGTCAGAGACAAAGGCTGGAGTCTTTTGACATAAGAGAGCCACTCATGGATGGACACGAGTCAATATACTTTGTGATTGACCAGCAAATTAAAGTGACTGATCTTAGGGGAAGAAAAGAAGAAAAAACATGAGAGTAAGGCGTACTTATATGAATTATGATCTTTGGAGTTTTAAAATATACAATTTGTTTGTCGGAGAAATTTCATGATTTAAAATAAACAAAGCAGAAAGACATTTAATACATGGCACTTTACACAGTGAAATTTACTAGTAAGACCATAATACAAAATAAGACTATACAAACAAAATTTTGCAAAACGGCAATTACTAATGCATAGTGATAGACTTGCAGTATAAATAAAATAAAAAAGTAACAAATTGAAGACAGAACGTTGAGAAGAAGAGTGTTTGAATCTTTTCATGCATCTGGACAAAATTTACAAAGAAAAAAATCTTACTCAACTGTTATATTATCATTTTTAACAATTAAATAATGATTCAATACTAATTTGTTCAAATTTATGTTAAAATAATATTTACAAAAATTTATTGACAGACTAAATAAAAAAAATAAATAAATAATTTAACAAAAACTAAACATTTTCAGTAAATGAAAATTGCATTTCAGACGTATGCGTATTAACTGCAGCCTGGAGCTACAGTAACCAACTACGTGGTAAATACTCAACCAATCTATGATCAAATTATTCTTTTAAGAGAGAAATTCAACTAATTGTGACTGTCCACGGGGAAAGGGACCTTGGTCCAGTCTATGAAAACACAGAATAGAGTTAGTAAAATCATAGCACTGACACATGTCCTGTGAACATCAACATCCTGTGTGACATCAACTACCAAAAATGTCAAGCTGAACCAATGGCGGTTTCAAGTTCGTAGTTCAAAAAACACAGTTCCTAGAAAAATCTGTTTTAACTTTGCATATTCATAGCATTCAGATCAGAATGCAACTCAAAGCCCTCTATTGGCACAAAAATAAACTAAATGACTTGGAATTTCATCTTAAAGACGCAAGGAGAATTTTCTGTTAAAATATCAGAATCTCTCCTTCAACCCAACTCAACAAAAATCACCCCACTGAAAATGTTGCCTGCATAGACCCATTCTCCGTGGAGGGGCACAAATCAGTCATACTCACACTCCTTTCCTCTGACCATTCTGGAAACTTAAGTTAAAATTAGAGGAAGAGAAAAAGAGAGATAGACAAAGAAGGAGACACAAAGAGGGAAGAGAGGTGAGATTCTGAGAGAAGGATCAGTCTTGTAGCTTAACAGAGAACCTTTTTCCAGAATGAATTCCGACTTGGTCTGTCACCAAGTTCTGCAAAGATCACTGCCAGATGCAAAGAAACTTCACCCGCAAGATGGAATTATCACTATAAAGTTAAAATCAAGATTAATTTTGGCCGTTTATTGACCTCTGAATGTGTGAACTGGTTACTTCGTCGCAATTTCTCATTAGAAACGAAGTTATCAAACCCTCATTACGGCTGACAAGTGTTCAGAGGAGACTAGTTGACATCAGGCCCGCCACAAGGGGGGGGATACTGGGTCCTTGGTACCGGGGCCCGGGCCCTGGAGGGGCCCGTGATGCAGGTGACAAACCACTACGAATTCATGTGTAACCCTCGTCTTGTAAGGAAAAGTGAAAAAATTACCCTAAAAATTCCGCAAAAGGTGAATAAAGTTTCAAAAACACGCTAGGGCACTATTAAATTTTTCTTACTTTTTTAGAGATTTCTATCTATTTTTAAGATTTTTAGTATATTTAGAATGATATTTTTAGTAACTGCGTTTCATTTTCTTCCGTTGTCGGATGCTAAGAGCCTCCTGTCTGGGCATTCTCGACTTCAATGGCTCAACTCCCTTGCCATAGACGTACGAAAGGGGAGTCCAGGGGGGCCCGGCTCCCCCTAGAATTGAAAAGTATCATCTGCCCCCCTCAAAAAAAAATTTAAAGATGGTTTTGAATGTAACAATTCGAAAGTATTCGGTGCTGAAAGTAAAAAAAAGGCGTAATTTTCTGCAGAAATTGATGGAAAATCTCCATCATAAGAGCTTCAAAATGCGTCTAAATAGATTTAAAATTTCAAAAATTTCCCCGGGGAGGCCCCCCGGACCCCCCCCCCTGTGCTAGGGGCCCGGGCCAGAAAACTGGTACCAGGGCCCGAGGTGGGATGTGGGGGGCCTGGTTGACATTCAATATGATTTTAGTGGGGTCAAGACAACTCCCTCAATTCCGACTCTTTTAAGGCGTGACAACTTTACTTTTCATCAACAGCGGCAGCAGAGAGGGCAATTAACACTGACAAATACATCTTTAGAAAATAATCAACATGAGTCCTATTTTAACTATAAGGATCGATAGCCGATAAAAAGGTAATTTATTTTGAAGGTACCATCTTGATACTGTAACAATATTTTCTACTTAGAAGACCGAAAGAATAATGGATACTTGCTGTGAATCTTCTCTGACAAGTTAAAAATGTGATGTGGTCATTATTTTGAAAGCCTTACTTTTCTTAAAATACAAATTAGAGTTCTTGCTTTGCTCAGAAATGGCCGATAAAAACAAGAATAGAATGGAGGAATATAGATTTTGAAACTCATAACATGATTACTATAGTGTGTAGAAAGGAGATAGAAAGTAAATGGCTGTAGAGAGAAAAACGCGTAGTAAAGGCTGAATCAGGGTTACTTTGCAGGAACTCAAGTATCTTATCTTGTAATGATAAAACCAAACACAACAAAAACAAGAGAGCATATAAAGAAAATAATAGGTAGACAGAAGATGAACACTTCCAACAGCTTCCTAAGCCACACTCATCACACGTAAAGAACTTTGTTTCAGCATAGGGCACCTAACTTATCTAATGCGATGTTAGTCCTGCTACATTCATAACTCTGCACACAATATGTGTAATTGAAACTCTTCCCTTCCTCCGACCCAAATATATGATAAAATAATCCGATTAACCTCCATATACAGCGCAGGCACAAAAATGGGGGGTTTAGCTCAATTTTAGGGTTTCTAACTTGAAAAGAATTAAGCACATGTTTTGGAGCTTTTGTGTCAGGTCAGCTTTTCTGTCAAAACAGTGTCAAGGTCACTTTCCATCATGTGTAAGATGATATAATTTGCCTTTCATTGCATGTAATTTCCCTTCAAGTTCATAAAATAAAGATTGATATAAAATCAAAATTCCTAATTCAGCAGCCTCTTCCTCAAGTCCCGCGGGAAGATGAAGGCAAAAACACACCCTGTAAATGGCTCCTTGTATATTCGAGAAACAGTTTCAACTTTTGGAATTAAATGGTTATCAGCAAACTGAGAAAGACAGGAATCTGAAGTGTTTACCCAGTGCAGTACAGATGCCAAACATATATGTACATGACCGCTACAGCTCCCGCTTGATGACGTGAGGCTGCCATGTTTCGTTTCAATTCATAACATTGTGCAGCCACACTTACAGAGATTAAACCAAGGGAGAGCAGGGTGGGAACAAAAATTTTGCTTGTCAGGGTTTCTAAGAAAAAGGAGTGATTTTTTTAGCCTAGGAAATTTTTTTCAGTTAGGGATCTCACAGTCTTGTTCACTTAGCAGAGTCTATCGGTCTAGAGCTTTGCTCTTCGGCAAAATTTGTTACCACTTGGATTAAAGACAAAAAGAGGACCAGCCAATGTAACTCGCTTGCCAAGACTCTCTTTTAGCAGCGCCAAATAGCAAACTGTGCAACATTAAGATTTCAATCCCTGAAACTTTGGTCACATGGAGCTTTGCAAATTTGGATGGTTGGTTTTCAATTGTGCATGTGAAAATTTCTTAATTTTTGTAATTTAATGCAACACGAAGCCAAAGAAGATAAAAACAACACGGTTATAAGCAGTCTAAGAGTTGCAAAAAAAAGGTATCTTTGTCAATATAAAACTATCATACATTATCAGTAATCAAACTAAGCACTGTGAATGCAGGACAGAGTCGGTAAACTTTAACAAGCATTTGAGAAAAACTAGGATAATTTAATTTCTACTAGTTGTTTACTAATACTTTCTTGCCTTTTTGAAAAATGATTGAGCCAGAAAGGAAGGGATTTTTGGAGTGAAAAGTCCAATTCAAGGAAAGATGAGATTGCTGAAAGGGGTCAGGTTTGCAATATTTGCTGCAGAAGTACCCAAAAAGTCGATAAATTGAATTATACAGATTACTTTAGAGAAGGAAATTGTGATTTTGAGATGAAAATAGTACAAGTTTGGAAAAATTCGGTTCAGGAAAGTCTGCTTTACTCGACTGTCTATTTTACTTTTGTCAGTGACAAAGAAGCCAGCTCACATCTCCTCAACATTTTGCAAGAGTCTTTGCTCTTTCACTTCCTTTAATTGAGTTCTTTGTTAAACATAAATAATTATAGACGGTGTAAGTCGACAATCACATAACTCCGTTACGGTGTCTAGAATCTCCGTCTTTATGTTATTTTTTTAGAGGAGAACAAATTGACATCATTCCTTGAAGTTTATGCAGAATTTTCTTCGCACAGAGAAGAAAAATCATGGCAGTTTTAAAGAACTGCCGTTGAGTAGTTTTCCGTTTAAAAAATAAAGTATGACAGGTAGTCTGCGACGTCGCAAACCAAGTAATGTGATTGCCAACTTACACCGTCATTATGTTTCACTATCATGCAAAAGTTAACAATTTGAACTGATGGATCAGTTGAGCTCAGGAGGGTTCCATTGCAAATGACTGATCAACACAGTGTATGTTTGAGAAAAATGATAAGTGTTCACATGATAGAAGCCTCCTCAATTAAAGAATACAGGGTGTACCAACTAAGTGGTGACAAACTTTCAGGGGTTCTTCTATGGCTCAAAACAAACATGAAAGTCCCATGTCAAAATCCTCTAAGACACGTGGTTCTCGAGTTACGGGGAGTTCAATTCTTGAAAAAAAATACCGTATTACCGTACGCTGCTCAGGACGTACGGTAAAACGGTATTTTTTAAGACCTTTACCAGTACGGACCTTTTTTTAAGCTCTTGATGAGTACTTTACGAGACAGCAATTGTTTTTGGGTTCCAACTATTAGGATGCCACTGTGACGTCATAATCGAACACGTACGGTATTTTTTTTAAAAAATTGAACTCCCCCTAGAGGATTTTGGTAAAGGACTTTTCTGTTTGTTTTGAGCCATAGAACAACCCCTAAAAGTTTGTCGCCACTTAGTTGGTACACCCTGTAGACTACAAACACAACACTCCGATACAATAGCAATCGTTTTACGATGTAATTTTGAAATTTATTGCAACCTGTGTTACTCGGGTAGAAGTCAAATTTACCATATCTTGTGGTCCATTAAATGCTGTTCATCTCGAAAAGATTTATGAGGATTTAGACATCATTGAATGAGCAGGATCTGCTTACTAACAGTATCAGTGAAACAAATAGTTACCATGAAAATTTTGTGACTTTAAGTAATCTACGTACGGGTAAATTATCTCTAAAACTAAACCAGAACCCATTTAAAGCGCAACAGAGGGAAGACATGTGAGCAAAATAGTCTTCAATCAATATTTTAGTTACCTTGATATTTCGAGTGTCAACACTTAGATGGAATTTTTCCTGCCTAGAGGTTAAAGATATTGAACATACAAAGAAAAGGAGGCATGCTGATCTTTTCCACATTGAATAGAAGCAACAGAATGTGCCCCTCCACAGCACTACATACAATAAAAATTACTGTCTCGTCTGAAATTTGGGCTTAAAACTTCCTAGGATACACCCTAATGAACAGTTACTGAAAAGAACTGTAAAATAAGGTCTGAGTAGGTAACTGTTCACCGCTTGTAGTAAGATCCAAGTACAACATCCCTTTTTGCCAAGGCACACAATATCATACTCAAGAATGATAAAAAAGTGTGCTTTACCTTCAAATTACACAGAAAACTGTCGAAAAAATTGCAAAATGGGAGTTTGCACTTCATTATCAACTGCATTCTGTAAATTGATACATTGAATGGGAGGAGTTCATTGATCTGATAAACTAATGTAATATAAATATATAAAACATTCAGGTTCCTTAAATTAGTTCACAGTGGGGGCTCTCCTGTGATGAAACATTGCGTTCTTTCAAAAAACATACTTTAAAACAGTGATTTAAAAAGACACAAACTAAAATAAGAACTTTTGGCTCTCGAGTACAAATGAGTATGTGTGAGTGAGATGTACAGTGAGATTATTGGAGCGCATAAGTGTGCCAAGAAGCTAATAAATTTTTCCATTTTTTTATGAGATGAAGAGTGGGGAAAAGGGACTACGACAAAATTCCATCGAGTGTGCCATTAATGAATTGTTTGTAGCCAATTCTGAATTTACAAAAACTCTGGGAACCATCTTGAATTTATTAGTAGCAAAAAGAGATGTTTTAAAAATACAAATTAATGAAGTAATTTCGTTTTAAAAAGTCAAAATCATTGCAACAATTAGTAATAATCTTCACCTTGACACAACCTGTTCATAAAACATACATTGTGAGCATCCTAAAGGCAATGAAATGTGGTCAGCGGCTAAAAGTAAATTCAGGCATTCAATGTAAACTAAATTAGAATCAGTGGATGATTAAAATGTATTTAGTGAGACAGAATTGATTTGCTTATTTTAAAATTTCCGATATTTTAAATAGTTGGAATTAATGATCTTTTAAATACAATTCTTATGAATTTCAGAATATATACACTTATTAAGATGATGCTTAGTGCTGAGATCTGATGTACAACATGTAGGAATCATTACATGCTTAAAATGAAACTAACAATGATCAAAAGCCATAAATAGTTAAAATGATGTTGTACCATAAATTTTTTTACAGTGATACACAATTCTGATAAGAAGTATATTTTGTAATTCTTCATTCTTGAACAAAAAGTGGGTGATGGAAAATCTCGCTGTTCAGACTCTGAGTAATTAGGCTGGCTCTAATGGAGACAATGTACCTTTGGTCATTGTGCAATATGCTGTCTCATACCAATCAGAATAAATAATTAAAAAATTGAACACTTTGAAACATGAAAAAGGACTTCTTCGGACAAGTTCAATACATCTATGTACTGTCTGGATTTGAAAGCAAGGAGCTCTGCTTACTTTTCTTCAATTGAAAATGTACCCAATGACTAACAATGATTTAATGCTGATTAAGTTCTATCTTAGAAGTGTGATGACCTGAAGTAAAAAATAAGGCGAAACACACAAGGGGATAAAAGACACCTTTCACCTTTTCCTCATTCTATTTTCTCAAATTTTACTTTAATCGATAACAATTGATCATAAGTATGAAATTCTTCATACAATCAAGACTATGCCTCTCCAACATTTAACATGAGTTTGTTTCTAACAAGGTCGAGAAACAAAAACAAACCAACTGAAATTTGAAGCTAAAGATTTTTTAAACTACTTGCCACTTGTAATCTGTTCCCCCAAAAGAATACAGGAATTTTAAATTGTGTCACTGAGGGCACAGGAACAAACAAATAATATCAGGAAACGGCAGAGATAATGGTAACTAACAGCATGCTGTACGATGACCAAATTGCAAGACAACAGTTGAAAAAATTTGCTAGGATAAAATAACATTAGAAAAAAAGTTAAGAAATATAATAACAAGGGTGTAAACATTCTTTACACAGTAACAGACGGAGAGGCAACATTCGGTTTCTCCTGAGAAGTATTACTTTCTTGTGATTCATCTTGCGATTTCTCATCTTCTTTCACTAAAGTATTGCGTAATTCTACTAATTCATGTCCTTTGTACGCTCTCTTGATTCCGCGCGGAAGACCACGGCATGATGTGAGATTTAAAGATGCTAACAGGGGACACCTGGTCAAGACTGCTTTCACTGGCTCCAGACTGACTGAAGAACCAGTTAGATCCAGCACCCTGCAATACAGCACAAATTGAGAATAGCATTAACCTAAACCCATTAGCACCTTAAATACTCGCAAAATCGCAATTGATTGATCCGTACTTTGATTAAAATTAAATGTATGACACAATACACCTACCTAGAGCATTACACCTGCTTGCCATTAACTATACTAAAGGGACTTAAATGTCCCTCAGACACAGCATATTGTCTACTGCCCACCACTTCTTTTAGGTCTTCCTTAATTTTCAACCTATCCGATTTCTTAAATGAGTGAATTCAGAACAGCAAGATTTTGATGGTGGAAAATACAAGTTGGATGAACTAAATCCACATTTCAGGAGAGACAGGTTGGTAAACTGTATTTTAGGGGCCCACCTCCTCTTGAGCCCTCTTTGGAAGGTTGATGCTCACTTTGCCACTAAATGCCAATTTTCCCCCATTTCACCCTACGTTTAAAAAAAAAATTTGTATGGAAATGCAGCATTATCTTCATGAAAAAAGCACTTCACCACAGCAATAGGGACAACAACTTTCCAAAGAACTACATACTTTTTGCTGCGTAGATGGGATAGTTATAATCCTCTCCAGAGGTAAAGCTTAATTTGGCTGAAAAAAATAATATTTCATGGAAAGAAAAATAAAAGGAAGAGAAAGATAGTAAAAGTTGAAACAAATTAGTTCAATTCTGATCTTTCTTGCCTGTTCTTTTGTTGGTACAAGTGCAAATAAAGAAAGTTAACAAAGGTGTCTTCAAGAGTTCCCTGCTTCATGCTTGAAAAGATAGGAAATGACAAATTGCAAAAAAGACTAAAATAATAATAAAGACTTATCTCAACTACCTGTTAGGTTAGGTTTAATTTCAATTTAATCACTTTTTCCTATAATTTTGAGCTATTTAAGTTTATTGGTCTACGTGGGAGGGAGGAAAAAATTGAATCAACAGAAAACTTATTACTAAGTGATTCAACTTCAATGGGCCTGTTGCAAACTTTTGCTGGAGCAAAAATAAGAGTTGTTACTTGTAGAAAGTGTCTCAAAAATCACAATGAGCACATCGGCAAAGTCTGAAATGCACTCCTTACTTAAAAACTTACGTAAGAAATTTGCGTTTTTTCGAGCTTCCCACTTCAAAAACGATACCATGACACAGGTGAATATTTTATTAGAGGAGTCATTCCATCCAGCCCCTGCTCATAAGGATACTACGCAATATTCGACATAGCCGGCGCCAATCCGCCAAAACACATGTAATGGGACTCTGATTCTAACCACCTGATAACAATCGGCAAGTTTACGTTCACATTTTTCTCGCTTTGTTAGATATCCACCTTGATTGACCTCATGCTCTCCTCAACTTGCGCGCGGAAGCTTCGGTCATGTTGGGCAGGGATTGAACGGAACAACTCCTCTAACGAAATGTTCACCTGTGCTGTGATATCCTTTTTGAAGCGGGAATCTTAAGGATACGCAAATTTCTTACACAGACAGTGAAGTTAGGAGTGCATTTCAGAGTTTGCCGATGCACTCATCGAGATTTTTGAGACGTTATCTACAAGAATTAACTCTCATTTTTGCTCTAGCAAAAGTTTGCAACAGGCCCATTCGAGCCACAGACGAATTAGGTTGCCATTTTTCCCATATAATCAAAATATAAATCAAGAGCAAAAATGATTTTACTGTAGTTCCCATTAATTTGAAAGACAATAATTGTGAAGACAACAGTCCTTCTTCAAATTTGATAAAAACAAGCAAAACAGGACTTCAGATGTGGCAAAAAAAAAGAACATCAGGACGTTCCTACAACAGGAGAGAAATCTGCATTATTTTGGACAAACATACCCGAAAATTCCAATTATGGACCATTTGAGACCATTTTAAAGTTAGAGAACGATAAATCACAAATTTAAGGAAAACCAAGCTTAAGTTTGCCGATGCTGTTGGCAACTGTGAAAACTATCAATTCCAAACGCTTTTGACTTGATTTTTACAGCAAATTATGACTTAAAATGTTGACTCAATGTTCTCAAGAATAATAAGAAGCATTTAGCATTGACAATGAAAAACTTAATTTTTAACCTCAGGGGCCAACCATAAATTACATAAGGCACTTTTCCCCATTTTTAGACCCTCCCCTCCTCGCGAGGAAACTTAAGGTATCCCTTCCCCCCCCTTCTCTAAAAATTACGTAAGGCTCGACTGACCCCCACCCCCTCCATTTTTTTTCAGTTATTGCAAATCTAAAGCAGTACGTTTGCATTTAGAAAAACAATGAAATTTTTAGTCCGAAATTTTTATTAGCGATCAACCTGACGAAAAATGGATTTTGATTTTTGACGTTAAAATGAAGTCACTACTCATTATCGACAGAAGAGGGAATCGAGAGAAATAATAGGAACATGATCCAATCAGTCAGCAGTCGGTTATGTGCTGATTTCCTCTATTTCATCTTAAATTTTATTATCAACCTGACAAGTCATGGATTTTTGCATTTTCTTTAAATGTAGGCTGGAAAGCTCACGTAAGGCTCAGCCCTATCTCTCCCTCCCCCTTGTAAGGCACAGTAAGGCTGTTAAAGACCCCCCTCCCCCTTTGACCCTTTTGTAATTTATGGACGGACCCTCATATCGGTTTTTTTGGGGGGCTTTGAACGGTATGAATTTGCACATTTTGTCTGACTTCATCACAGATGTACTTGCTACATTGAAAAATAAGCCAAGATTTACCTTAGGGGAGAGTTTTCAGCTTGCTCAGCTAAAACACTAACAGCAGTATCCAGCGTCCTTGTATTTGTACTCCATGCCAGATCAACTTCAGTTAAACTATGCGACCACTTTTGACAAATTAAATCTAACCCCGACTCATTTCGAGTTACGTAGCTCCCTAAAAAAGACATGCAAGATTAAAGACAATGACAGCAATGAAAAATTGGGCTTTATACAACTTCATGGATTTTTGCAAGAAGGTATATACATCCATTAGAACTTTTAAAAATTGCCACCTGTTCATTTTAGTTCTGCTGGGGGAAAAAACTGTTAAAATTTCTTTGGAAACCTCACTAAATGTGGTTATTTCTCCAGAATAGAGGCTTGCAGTTTTCTTTCCGGGAATCTCCTCTCCTCTGGTCATACTTGTTCACACTAGTTGTTGCCAGCTGAAAGAGATACTTTGGGCAGTTTTCAAGATATTTGTCGTTTTGTGTGCAAGAACTAAAATTTTGCACACTCTCATCGGAAACAAGCAATTGTGCAGCACTTCTATTCCCCTTCCCATCAAGTCCACTTCAGCGCCTTTTCTCTACCCTGCCAGCCTGCAACCCATACCTTTGCTACCTTGCCGCTTTACCTCTCATGCTCACAAAGCTGCACTTTCTCTTCACAGCGCCGACTCTTGTCTTTAGGCCTTCTTCTTCATTTACACCTTCCGAGTTCATGCAATGAGTCAATGACACTCATTTTTCATTAATTCATTTTCTAAAGGTACTAAGCTCCAAGGAATTTTTTTAAAATTTTTTTTAATCCTAAATGATAAAGAAACTTTGTTTTGAAAATGCCAGAAATGGAACCCGTTTGAAACAATATTTTTGGCGGGTGCTGATGACGAAGTAAGGCAGGGGAAAAGGCGCTTGCTGATTAGCTAAACTCATTTTCAGGCACCGCCATGCTACGTCAACTTGACTGTCAGCTTTTGCTTAGCTTTTTCTCCCCTTTGAAATGATTTTCCAAACTTTTTAATGAAATTTTAGGCTTTTACACACAATTTGAGAAACTAATTTTAATTTCAAACAACTAATTTACAACCTTGTAAAAATTCCTTTTTACAACCCCATTTCACTACATGCATACTTGCATCGGTGATAGGTCAAAATGTCCAAAAGCATATGTCCAGAGTAAAAAAATGTCCAATTTAAGAAAATTCTACGAGTAAAGTGTCCCAAGTGCCTGGAATGTCCAATAGCAGTACCATCACCAAAATTAAAAATGCCCAAATGACCAGTTACTGTGAGTCATCCTTAATATTACCATTTACCTGTTGGTAAAAATTCTTCATACTTCCTCGTCACTTTTGTCTTGCGGCTCGTTGCTCTTTCAAGCATAATAGGCTATCCCCTAGGATAAAGTGGAATATCGTCTTCATCTTTAAATTCTTGATACCGCTGGACGCGCGTCAAATTATTTCACATTTGGACACTTTTGCTTGTGGCTATAATACCACTATCGGACATTCCAGATAATTGGACTTGGTTTAGATATGGAATTTTTTTATTTAGGACATGTTTGTACTTCAGACATTTGTCTTTGGACATTTTGTCCTATTACCCTTACATCTTTGATACTTCCAGTTCGTCCAAAACCAATGGGACAAAACTGGATTTGACTGGTCAAATCCCACACTTTTAAACGCTTACAGGTGTAGACCAAAATATAACAGTGAATGCTAGTTTTGACTTGTCAGTTCGTATTAGAAAATATGTGGATTTTGACTACAGTATGAGCACAGAGCTCCTTGTCTTGACAAGAACAAATTTCAAGAGTTAGTTTGTATTGATGGATAACATGAGTTAAATAAACTCATAGAATGTTCTACAAAATAGGAAAACATACCTGAAAGATAGAGATGAGTCAGGTCCCACGCAGAAACTCTGACAAGACTAGAATCAGTTACTCTACTACAGCCTCGGACATCCAATAATCGCAATTTTTGTGCATTTTTTAGTAATCTCTCTAATGATTCATCATCAATCATAGGTTCTGTAGTTGTGCTCAATGTATTTGAGTTGCTTGCTGCGCTTAGTTCTTCTAATAAAGGAAATCCTGGTGACGCTGCCTGCAGAAGAAAAGGGATTTTAGTTTTCTTTTCCTAGCAATGTCAAACTTGCAAAGGATCAGTAATTAATTGCAAACAGGATAAAATGGTTAAAATCCTCAAGTGTTCTTATGAAAATTATCAATTTCGTAGTACAATTTCATTATCAATATTTAAAAACGAAACTGAGATGGAGGGCATTGAAGAGAATTTATTGACTAATTTTGTTGTAATATACAGGCAATGTTTTCCAACATAACTCGGGAGTTTCATCAAAAGGTGTCTCAATTTTTAGATTTGCAACCATAGAGAGGGCTCCCTTGGTTCAGCCAGTGTCCAGCACTTCTCTTTATTTGGCTCTAAAGTAAAAATTAGACAATTTGGACAGCATATTCCGTTTTTAAGCCTAAGGGTAACCATTCTATTATGCATCACTTCACAAAGATCCTGTAAAATAAATGATTGCCCGTCCATTTCCGGAAAATATTCCTCTGACTGATAATGATTGTAATTCCTCCCACTAAAGTCAATGAAATTTGAGTTTCTTTGATGGCCACGTTTCATTCTAGGATGCACAAATTTGGATGTCAATCTAAGTCACCTTTGATGGCTAGATAACAACAAAAACGCCAACCTAATCATTACCGTTGACAAGCTTGAGTACATTTGGGCTACTACATCCATGTATTAACCCAGTGACCAATACCTTCTCGACCATACCTGGTCACGCCCAGATTGAGGTTATGTCGTTAGTAAATCGGTTTCCGCAATGTGTTTATGTTAGTGCTAACGGGTTAAGAGCGCGAAATCGCGAGTTTTCTTGTTGAATTCAAGTTTATTCAGTTTTTTCCTGGCAGAAATCAATTCTGTGCCATAAGCCTCACTCTTGGTGAGATTTTCAACGTTTTAATGAGTTTTATCGGTTCAATTTCTCCTCGTATTCCCTGAGTTTTATCGGTTCAATTTCTCCTCGTATTCCCTAAGTGATCGGACGGTTCTTCTCCATGTGTTTGACTGAGTGTTTTTTTCAGGAAAAGCTTCGTGTTTCCTCCCGCGACCTAATGTATTAATTTTTGTGTGGATCATTAAAGCTTCCTAAGAAGTTTCTCAAATAATTTCGTGCAAAACCAAGGGGCGAACTGCTGTGTGTGTCTTGTGAAGTTGCAGCTGTGGTAACATGGCTTATTTTGTCGTAACAGAGGGACCATCAATGCTTGCCTTTGATCTCCTAATAATCAAATATGAAGCAAAATTAAGTTTGAGTCTTTCAGACCTCTTAGTTTCACTGCACTCTGAGCGCACTCAACTGCACTTTGAGTGCAATGAAACAGCCTTATTTTACTTCACATTATCTACGATGATGCCTTCTACACTTCAGCGTGCGAACTGGATCGTTCCTTGGAATTGTAAGAATCTTAATCTTACTGATTTTAAGGTGTGTGCTAGTTTTGATCCGTTATTACCTAATTTATGGCATGGATTTTCTTTTTTATAATGCCTTGGATTTTAGATGGTACTTAAGTAAGCGTTAGCTTCTGTGATATTTCTATTTTGCTGCTGCTTTTGCTGAACTAGACATTTGTGCAATTTAGAGCAATGGGTAGATGCTGCTGTGTGCCTGGCTGCAAATCTAATTATGCAAGCTCCTCTGGTCCTGATGTCTCAACCTTTAAATTCCCTGATCCTGCCAAAGAGCCAGAGCGTCATGCAAAATGGTTGAGTGCTCTCTGTAGGGATAGCTTTACGCCTACCAAAAGTTCTGTAGTATGCATGATCCACTTCCATCCTCAGTTTGTTGTGACGCATGATGAGTTCAAGAGCAAAGAGGGCTTTATCATTCGAGTTGAGAGACTGAGACCAAAATTGACTGACGATGCTTATCCCTCTATCTTTCCCAACCAACCCATATACCGATCAACTGTCCCTGCTAAACGAAGAAAAGATCCTGCAGAGCGAGAGCAAGACATGGCTCAAGTTCAATTGAAAAGAAATTTCCAGCTACAAGAGGAGAAAGACATAATCCCTAGCTTTGAAAAATTAAAGGAGGGTCTTTCAAAGAGGAACGAATCTTTGAAGTCAGTACTATACCCTGGTTATATTATTCTAATTAAAGCAGAAGATGATGAATTTGATACAGTGCCATTCATCATCTGTGCAAAACTTTCTAAGGAATCAGTAGAGTTTATCTAAACTTTTTTAAAAGTGCATGATAAACAGCAATAGTGCTGGGAAAAGTAGCATTGAAAGAGTATAAATTAAGGTAAGATATTACCAATCCTTGGCATTCATGTCGGAGGTCTAAACACTACGATGAAAATAACTTTGATGAACAGTTTTGAGCAATTGGACTGACAAGAGACCACTAGATTCAAAACTGATTGTGAAAGCAAAAATTTGGGCTTTCACACTGCAACAGCGAGCTGATTTGGCGAGCAGAAGGTACTTGAATACTTATTGGATGAGAAAGGAAATCATTTACAAGATACTAATTTAAGAGGTGAACTTGTCTGACTGCAAAAGAGTGCCATATCTGCTTAGGAAAGAGAGCAATCATACAGAAAAACTTCCTGTGGGTTTGAACTGGGTAGGTAATGAAATCCCACAGGAAAAATGCGAGCACAAACCTCAGAATGGGCTTCATGGTTGCATATGAGACAGAAATTCGAGACTGCATTTTTGTATTACAGAACTATAATGAGAGAAGATGATTTGAAATCACTTTCCTATGATGAAAACTCCACCACTTGAACGAAAATCAATTATTTCCACCCTAGTAGCAGCAATCTGCATGAAGCGCAAGATTAGGTACAGATCAAATCTTCAATATTTTCCTTGTAACGAGTTTAAACACAACTGTAACTGCTCATATCTACAGGGGGAACTTGGGGAGTCACAACACACAAAAAAAATGATGAAAATTGGCCGTACTATAGTAAATTAACATCAAAACTCACAATTTCCCATTACACTGCCATTGATAAACAGGCATTTCATCGATTTACTAACGACATAACCTCAATCTGGGCGTGACCAGGTATGGTCGAGAAGGTATTGCAGTGACAAATAGTCAATAGGACCGCCGGCTCTTTTCTCAATCAAGAGGTGTAAAAAATTCCCCATCTTGAGATTATAGCAATTCAATGCGTGTGGGGGAAACTCAGGGCTGTGAGGAGATTTTTTTTCCGGCTCATTATTATTGTGAAGCAAGTATAAAAATTACTTTGAGGTAAAAACGCTGCATCAGCATTAGGAAAAAAGCATTTCTGCTTGAACGTTATACCAGGATTTTATGTTAATACCTACAAGCAAACATTTGTAAGGAGGTTTCAAAAATTTTTATGAAAGGGTGGGTGCACAGAACACTGGCATATAGATACCAACTATCCATGCATAATCCGTATTTTTTGGTACATGGGAAATTTGTTCACAAACTTAGTTATTTCCTGTCAGGTAAAAACCATGCTAATTTGTTGAAAAGCAGTTTTTTTTTAAAAATAAATGTATGAAAGGATTTCATAATTTCTTCATTTTTCAATGGATCACTAGACAAGATGTGAATTTAGGCAGTCTGATTTTATTCAGCACTGGTTACGAAATATTTGTGAATTTTCTGCTCAAAGGAGAAACCAGAATCCTCGTGAATCAAATCACACGCTACAAATATGTTTCCACTTCAAATTTCAAGAGGAAAGAGATTTGCGCAAAAAGATGACAGAAATTAACTCCTTCTTAAGATTTTAACATTTTTATTTGGCACTGGTTGAAAAATATTTGAATTTTTTGCTCAAAGGAGAAACCAGAGTCTTAGTGAATCAAATCATGCGCTTCAACAGTTTTCGCAGAATTCTCAATTGAGCAGTGTTTGTTCTCCGCCCTGGGTTTTTCAAAGTGAAAACAATGTGCAACAGCTGAGCTGCAGTATGGAGATTGAGGCTGACATATATTCTCACCTCAGAGACTATTACGGTAACGTTTAGAACACGATTTAACTCCGGAAAGTTCCTAACTTTCATTCATTCTAAAATTACCGAATCCACTGACTTTCTTTGGACTTTGGTCAAAACCTCCTCTCAGATTATTTTTCTTTCACTACGCTAACTTATACTTGACTGCCAACAAAATCTCTACTTCAGCAGATTAAAATAAGAATAAAGGTACTTGGAAGTTGTTTGCACTCTTATAAATGGCCGTGGCTGAAATTGCAGAGCTGAGGCGCTTATCGCAAAGTTCTCTGGCTTTCCTATGAATCCCCTAATTTTCCCGGTTGCCATAAATCCCCTGACTTTCTAGGATTTCCAGATTTCCGGAGAATCAGGTAATCTTATCCATGAATTGTATAAAGGTTTCAACCTGCTGAGGATTGATTGTGAGACACATGTTTGAATAGGTGAATCTTACTATAATTCTTGTAATTCCCTATTCTTTTACCAGCTTCTGGAGTTGCGCAGCCACAACTCTGACCTGGCATTAGAAAAGTTCAGCAAGGTTTGAAGGAAAATTATTTTTTGGTAATATCTTTCCTTCCGGAAAACTCTTAAAAATATGAAAAACCTGGGCTTGGAATGGAATCATGAATTGGTTACCTGCTCAATGAGAGGAACAACAGCTAAGGCAAATTGACTATTGGTGATCCGAAACACCCTTAACTTTTGACAGCCTTCTTGCAGTTTTTCAATGTGGATGAGACCATTCATAGCCACTGTCCTTACATTTGACATATCCAGCAATTGAAGATTTGGACAGTGAGTCTGAAGCACAGGAATTAACATTGCATATGAATAAAAAATGGGAATAAAAGAAATGATTTTCAAAGGAATAATTGTGCATTGTAATTTAGCAATATTCTTAAAGCGCTCTTGTGTATGTCTTTCGTTGATACTTTGATTAGATTTTACACACAAGTGATTACAGTTTGTTGTCATATAGCTGTGTCATTTCAGTGGGGGCAACACCACTTAACTAAACCTTCCACCCCCAAAAAATATACAAGGAGTTTTGGTTTTGGTGGTAGAATTAACAGCTCTTCTTCTAATGTTCAAACAGACATGAAATCCAGGTATTTTCTGGAAAAACTCAGCCCAAGTTGGATTACATTTTGCAATAAGGAACCACTATCTCTGACTCTTCTGTAAAAGCACCTTTCTGCATAGGGAAACAAATGGCATATATGTATGTTGTTTCTAAAATGACCGAGAAATAGTGGTTCCTTATTGCAAAATGTGGTCCAGTTTAGATAAGAGCTTTCTTCGTAAGTGATAGTCTGTAATGCGAGTCTTGAGGTAAATTTAAGTAATCTAAATAAAGCTTCCCAGTCTAAATCAAAATCAGACTTACTCATCTGCAGGTCGATTGTTGAATCGTTATCGAATGATTCTGATCGATAACTCCCTATCTTCACAATGCTATGTATCGATCAAGGTCATTCGATAACGATTCAACAATCGACCCGCTGGGCTGGCTTCTAGTGGATCAAAGTACGGTTCCTCTTTCACACGGTCATAATACTATTAAGTCTTTCATTTTCAAAAGTATGTCCTCTATTTACAGTTGCATTGAAATTTTTGCTATTCAATTTTCATTTCAAACACTCTCCTGTCTCAGAAATTCCCCATGAGCTGCCATGGATTTTGATTTTTACTGCCGATTCCTAACCTCGCTCTCTACTGAAAGGTATGGTTAGATGGTGTTGGTATGAGGCACTAATGTTGAATGACTGCATCTCGTACACAGACAGGTAATATGTATGAGAGGTAATCAGGTTAAAATATTTAAATTTTGAAACTTCACCTTGGCTTTCATTAACACGACAGGTGGCATTACTATCACACAGTTAAGTGCTAAAAGCTGACAAAAGAATAGCACTAATCACATATGATCAGAACAGTGATCAACATGTTAACTACCTTAGTAAATTAGTACTTAGAGGGATCAGAGATACGTATGAGATTAACAAAACAGGATACTTACAGCTAGCGCATTGATAATTTGAGGAATTCCACTTAATCTATTATTTGACAATATTAAGGAGGTACAACGTTCACCCATCTCTTCAGCTAAATAAAGTAAGGAATGGAGTGATACAGCACAATTTTGCTTCGATCCCAGCTGTGGCTAAATGAACAGGAAACATAAAACCAACATGAAAAATTTGGATTTAATTGTCGAAATGTCTTTTAAAGTCTAATTGAGAATGCTTTAAGTTATGGTAGTTTTGAACTAGGATGTACAGATTAGAGAACAGCGGGGCGATTATTGAAATGCTATCGACTGTATGTCGCCGCTTTTTCGTGTCGCGTCATCGACTAAGCATATGCTTAGTCGATGGTGCGACACGACAAAGCGGCGACATAGAGTCGATATCATTTCAATAATCGCCCCGCAGGAGATTGTCGATGGTTTATTTCAAAATATGCATTTCTGCCTAAAATTAAGCTACTTTTTCCCCTTTCAGACTCTTTAATTCTTTCTTCAACAATGTTGAAATAGTTTTCAGACATTACTGGAATCAATAACGATTATTTTCCCCTAAACAGCGCCTTACTCGAGGCTTTAAAAATGCTAATCTTTGCAATTTTTACCAAGTGCAAAAATTTTATTTTGAGACATGATCAAAATAGATCATTTTTTTTTTTTTTTTGAATTGGCGATAAAAAATATTGTTGTTCCATCGAGATAATATCTCCAGCATATTTCCTGAAAAGTTAATTTCATGAACCAAGCTTCGCTGGCAGCCGGTTCTAAAATAAAACATGAGAAGCAAGACAAACCCACACAGATCAGTCACTGCACATCTCTTTTGAGATCCACTTTCTACACACCATAGCCCGTCCAACATAGAATTGCCTCATCCCAAGATGATCTTATGAAAAAAGCATTTCTTTTAACCCTCCAATCGTCAATATGCAGTAAGGTATCAGAATTGGTCCACAGAAATAACTGACCTCTTTCTAAGAAGGTTAATTTTCTAAAAGTGGGAAAGATAAAAACTGAGATACTCACATTGATGCCAGATAAGTCTAGTCTTTGAAGTTTCTTACACCTCTCCAAAAGAAAGCGCAAGTGTTCACTACTTAGTCCTTCCCAACCTTGGAGACTTAGACCACACAGATCTGTACAAGAGCTTGTGATTTTATCCAAAATAGCTGGAATTCCGTTGAATTTCCAACCTCCTGTGAGAGTGCAGTAGAAATGATTTAGATTCATTGTTTCAGATATAATGTTTCAGTAAACATAGTAGGCTCTTCACATTTTAGTAGTATGTTTTATGATACATGCTTACTGGATATACTCCTCAATGATTATATCCTTTTCTTAGATGCACAACCCCTTCCTCTTTAATCTTCAAGTTTAAGCTCAGGATGCCTCAGCAACAGCAACAATGACTAAAACGTTCTAATAATCAATGGGATGTCACTAAGCTTAAGAAATTGATCTACGTAAGAACGTTTGACAAGGAGCGTACCTAGCACAGTATTTCTAAAGGACTCAACATTAAATTTTAAGACTCCCTGTGTAGAAAAATACCCCTGCTCAAAGATGTTCAATCAAGTCATATGAGCCATGTACTTATGGATTCATCTCATATATCTTAGTTGTTTTATCGACTGACTTATGGCCTCATTTAACAGTTCATATTTGAGGGGCTGGGAAGACAAGGCGCATAAAAGCCATTTTTGAAAAATCGAGACCTTCAAGATTTCAGGTAAAAAGGGTCTAAGGGCATATTCAGTGAAAAATTTGCTGCCGGATTCCAATTTTAAAGCATCAAAAAGTCATCATTCAGCCATTAGGATCCATGTAATTTCGAAACTTTGAATAGGTATATCTCGAAATAGCAACAACTGCACTTATGAACTCTGTTCTCCAAGCCCATCATTTGTCACATGATGGGGAGCAAACTGCAAAAGGTATTGTCAGAGAAAATTATCAAAAAATGGAAGTCAATCTTCTCTTATTCCCCCTCTTTTGAAAGATTAAAATCATCTGCATTTTGGATTTTGATCAATCTTATTTGAGGCATACGCTGTAAAAGTGACCAATATGCGAATTTGCCCCAATCAGCATTTCTGATTCTGAGTGTCCTGGACTATCCACCCTAACAGTATTACTTATGGGGATATCTGAAGTCTTGAACTCAAAAAACCTGTTTAAGTTGGGTCGACAGGCACATCAAGTCACGAAATTGTTGCCAGGGCTTTACTAAGAGTTGTACTAAAAGTACTTAAAGTGACCTAATGTCGAGCGAAACCTGTATTTTCAAGGTAGCGAAAAAGTTGTTCCTGAACTTGAGCTCAAAGGACTCAATTGATCATGCTCACATATTTGAGGTCTCAAGTAGTCCCGAACAACATATCCGAAGCTCATTGACTAAGTCCTTTGGACCCAGCATGAAATCTGACGTGGGACACTGAGAAAACAGGCATTTCCTAGGATTTTGGCCTTCAGGCCTAACTTCATGCCTCCATTTTGATGCTAAAAAGTGTATTGCCGAAACTTGGATGTTTCAGAAAAATAAACGCCATCAATTGAAGAAGATCAAAAAATCTCAGACTAATTTTAGCCCTTATTGCTACCTCTCCTTTTCACAAAATATTAATTGAAAATGGAAAAAATATTAATGGAAAAATATGATAGAGGTTTTCAAGACATTTTAATGATTATTTTTCTGATAATAAAAAAGGAGAAAAAAAATCTGCAACACCGTGAACCTAGAAATGTTGTTTCCAAGTTTAGCCATGGATGTAGCAGGATTTCATGCATTCTGACCTGCAGCAATAATCCTTGACCTCAGCTTATCCATTTCATAAAGGAATTTTTACCTTGCATTCTGACTGGTTGAAAAGAAATTCGGCTTCACAAATCACACCAAAGTCTCAAGCACAGAAGTGTGAAGTAGTATCTGCATCGCAAAAGGAATAATTCGGGAAAAACAATGTTCATCCGTTCAGATGTATAGTTTTCTCGAGGAAATTGCAATCTAACAAGGACGCGTTCAACAATGCCAAAAAAAATAAAATTCTAAAGTTACACTGTGATGTAAGTCATGACTTACCTAAATTAAGTTCCTGAACATTAGCCAAACGGTTTTCACAAAGCCAACGAAAGTTAAGTTCATTGACGATAGGATTTTTGGAGACCCATTTGCTGGACAGATCAATATTGTGCCATAAAGTTGGATCACTTGCCACTCTTCGCCATAATCGACAAACTCTTGATACTCTGAAAGCAGGCAACAACAGATGGTGTTTTTAGAATCGACCTTTGTCACAATAAAAAATTGAGTATGCATACCACTTCAAATAAAGGTCAGTATTTAACTGATAAATAATCTTTCATAAAATTTTTGACCATTGGAATGATGTACCTTTTTCACACTTGGAGTGTAACCCACTGTTACAATGTTTAAAAATGTTCTGTTTGTATGGATACTTCATAAAAAATTTTGCATCTAATTTTTGAACTGTGGTGGAAGACTTTAAAAAATGCAATTGTTGGAAGTGATGATCAGCTCTTCTGGAGACAAGCAAAGTAGATGCTCAAGTTAAAAAATACTCAAAATGTGAGGATAACCGATTTTAAAAGGCAGAATTATCAGTTTGTAACCTCAGGAGAAAAACCTATTTCAAATTTCATTCCATAAGTGTTTCCAAAGAACTCTCGACGATTTGAGGTGAAAACGTAAAATGGAAAACTCTCCTTAATGAGTGTTCCTCGACTAGAATCAAAATTTCTGCAATTTCATTTTAAGATTGTAAAATTGTAAAATAAGTTTGGATAACAATTGATGAAGTAGACAAATTACCTCACGAGGAAAGGAATGCAACCGTCAGTTTCCGTAATGATTCTGAAAATATTCTTCAAAACTTTGTCTGGCAACTTCTCTCCCCAAACACTTTGTTCTTTAGGTTCTTCATCAACTTGCACTATCGCTTTTTTACTGTTCTTTCGCCGCCTGAAAGGAGGAGTCGGAGCACTTTTCAGAGATATTTTGATTTTGATTCCATTGACATCTGGGGCTATTTCACTCTGATAAGTTGGTTTTCTACTTTTAGCTGATGTTGACGAACTGTGCTTTTGTTTGCGGTGACTGGTGCTTGATGATTCACTTTTCCTTTTCCGGCCACTTTTATACTTTCTCTTATCTTCTTTCTCAGATTTTATCTGCGAACTTACACTAAAATTACTAGAAGTTTCTGGTGTGATTTCAAGGTTTTCTAGTTCTACTCTGGGAGAGAATTTGTCACTATTGACACTTCGCTCACTTCCTGGAGTCGTTTCAGTTTCAATGGACCTTTCACTCCCGGTTGTTCGAGGTGTCAACTGACTTGCTGGTGTTAATGGACTAACAACACAATCACTAACACTGGAACATTCACCATTACGATTAGATTCAGCAGGTGATGTAATAGAACCATTAACAGTCAATTCTAATTGATCGGGAATGTGTTGAGGTGTCACAGGGCTGGGCGTCGGAAAGTTAGAAAGAAGAGGTGATGGAACTTGGTTCTGGAAGGGGTCCATTACTGGAGGCCAGCTGTTCCCTTTTTGACTGAATGAACTCAGTTCCATACTGGGCATCGATGGTGCTTGTTGCATAGACATCGTTCCCTGTACTTGCTGCATCATGTTTAAGTTGCTGAGGCTGTTGAAATCATTTGTGCCATAACCGTAGGATGGTCCACTACTCATCGGCGTTATTTGTGATATTGAACTGGAACTTGTGCCGAGACAATTGGGTTTCGGATCACAAATTTGCGATGGTATCAATGTCGGGTTACAGGTGGGAGCAGGCACTGGTGTAGGCTCAAGAAGAAAATCTTTGAGGCAGTCTGTTTCATGGTCTGAATCCAGGCCACCTGAGGTCAGTGTCGGTGCGAATAGCGCATCATGGTGATGGAAGCAATCTCCGTTTCTTTCATCCATTATTGCGACGCCTGATTAGTTCATGCTACTGGTGGGAAGGTTTGCTATAGTTCTTTATTCAAATTTCACTTTTTTGATGTTATTAACATCTTGCACAATGATAAGATGTCCATCACAGGAACTACCCCATTATAATGAACTACCCTGCATCTAGCTTCATTGAACTCAGTTAAAATGTTTTCCACTAACTTAAGAAAAAATAACTTTGCTACTGAAGTTTTTAGATTACAAATGAATCACTTTAAAATACCCAATCATAAAACAAACGAGCGACAAAACGGAGTGGAGAATATTTTGAAGCCCAAAGTCCACGTTTTCCTGAAAGCCAAAAAACAGAAAACAGAAAATTAAAAATTACAATAAAGTTCAGTACCTACCAGCAACTATTGTCAAAGGAAAAATAAGGAGTGAAGTCTCAACTATTACTTGAAACAGGGGACATAACAGGGGGGCTTAACCCAGAATCAAGTTAGAGTAGTCAACGATCTGGCTTTCGCCAAACATGTCAGCCTTTTAAAACATTTTACTGGCATCCAACAGGACTACAGAAAATGACAAAATGTAAAGATTTTTGGATAAATACTGACTCACATCAGATGATTCGATTTGTGACTGACGCTAAGGGACATAACTGTCAGTTATCAGCACATGTTAAAATTTCCACACAAAAATTTCTTCACTTGAGCGGAAAAAAATAGTACCTATCCTTTTAAGTCATTAGCATTTTTGGAGAGTTTTAGACTAGTCTCAGACATTTATTTATTATTCTTTGCGAAATTAAGTCATCAGTATCTTTGAACAAAATGCCTGGCAGTTTGAAAAATTTGAAAAAATTTTGTGAAAAGCAGCTTCTGTTCCTGAACAGTAATTGCTGCCTACATGTATCAAACAGGAATGCAGAAAATGTGAGCCTTCAAAATTTTTGCAGGATTTTGAGAAGAAGCTACTAAATATTTCAACTCAACAATTTGAAGGAAAAAAACAGTACTTAGAATCGGAATAACTAGAAGAAAACGCTTAAAATTGAAATCGAAAAAGGCTGCAGCTTTCCATACTTTTGCAACCTTTCTGGACATAACTGCCACCTCATATTACCTAAATGGATGTCATTACTAAAAACTATCTAAGGTTAAATTTAGGCATTTGGCTATTCAAAAAACATCTTCACCGGGGTTTAAACTTTAAAGCAGAGAAGACTCCAGTAGTTGGGTGTAATTGCTTGAGAAAACAATTGACTATACAGGTAAACAACGGAGAGTTGAATGATAAAAAGTTGATAATTGGAATTGATAAACTGATCCTGTCTGAAGTCAGACTTTTACAAGCTTTTTCAGCTTCAAGATCAGCAATGATTACTTCAATAGTACTGAAAACTTTTTGGAGAGAAAATGTACTAAAATTAAGATGATTCAACACTAATCATTCATAATACCCCAAATTTTCTTCAGATGTGAAAAAAGGTTGTATTCCATGGATGTTGGGAACCAGGAGTTTCAAACTTTAAAGGTTTGCAAATTCACAGGTTCAAATATGACAAGAAAAGCTACTAATATTTCAATAATGCTGGAAGGGAGGGAAACATGCAAATCCTTATTTACTTGTTCTGAGGGGTTCAAACTTGTGTCACAAGAGAAGAAAGACTCTGCTTGGAGCACTATCTAATAATTGAACTTGCAAGCAATGAATGAACAATTAATTACCTAATCAATCTCCTCTTTCCGAAAACTAAAATTCTCATTCTAATGCTGACAAAATAGTATTTACTTAACAGCAGCTAAGTAAATTCGAGTCTCTAAATTCAGATTAATTTTTGCCAACCCTACCTTCACCTCTCCTTCACTACTACAGACTAGCGTATCATCTACAAATAGACTTATCTCTGACTCCCTCACCACTTCTCTCGAATCATTTGTATACAGCTGAGACAGTAAAGGTCCTAACCTACTGACTTGCGGAGCTCCTAATTCTACACACATTTCCTCCAATAGTTCATATCCCCACCTAACTTGTTGCCTTCTTCGGCTCAAGATTGAGGAAAGTTTAGGATGAAAATTCTAGCATAGATGAGGAAATTGAAAGGAGCATGGAGCAAAGCACAGTAACCCGACAGATTGATAACATGGCTTAATTATCCACCTATGAGAGCGTCTAGCAATGATATGTTACTACCAAGACTGGCTTGATCAAAAAGCATGATGATAATTTTTGTGTACTACCTTGACAGAAGCTTGCAATAGCAACACAGGGAACCAAAAGGGTAGAATTTAATACTTCTCCCCCGGTGAGATGGCAATAGGTGAAAGCTAGGTAACAAATCTAGACGAAACATCATAGAATTGAACCACAGAGATAAAAGCACTTATGATGCTATTGCACACATACCTCAACATTGCAAACTTACAAGAACTTGATAAGACATTATTGTTTGATCACTATCACAATGCACAAGTAACCTTTAGAGAATTCAGAGAAATGGTACAATAAAGCAGGGAATGAGAGGCTATGTACATATTAAACCACCAACAGCACTAAGACACAGAAGTCCACTTGGACCTAAAATTGATAGTGCAAAGACGTAATATTAAGAGCTATGTCTATTAAATGATGCAAAAAGCGCCCTTTAGCATTTAATAATAATAAACTGATCAACTTGCTGGGATTTATGAACTTGTATTGACAAAATACCTATAATGTTTACAAATTCTCAGCTGTCAAAGGGATTAACCTCTTCTCTTCAAAATACAGTAGTTGGCATTCGGAAACTGCAAAGGAAGTTACGGACAGTCAAACGAAAATAGTAGCTGCATGATACACAGACTTTGCGGAGTGGAGTCAATGTTAAAAAGGGGTTCGTTAACAACGATTTGGAAATGGGTGAAATATTGTAATAGGACTTTCGATGTAGATAATGTAGGCCTACACAGGCCAGGAGTACCACCTAAATGGAGGAGGCACAACGTGAAATTGGTGTCCTACTTACTTGAATCGCCGCTCAAATAATTATGTTTTTAACTGCCGAATCGGTAAAATAATAAAGTCAACAATTTTAAACCACAAAACTGATTTAAACTCACTAATCCCATTTCGGAGCGGTCGTAGCTAAGCCAATGACCTTCGACCGACTGCAGCAGCAGCAGGAAGCAAACTAATGGCTCTATTGTCAAATTCAAAAGTATTTGTGATTGGTCAACTTCGAACTTCTTATAAAATCTTCTCAACGCTCTCTATACACTATCAGGAGACTTACATGAAGACTTATCACGAATGCCTGCTAAGCGCCTTTTCCATTACTTATCGTGTGAAATGAGATCGGCATCGGATCCGAGCCTACTATTACGTTGTTTCTTTAAATTTAAGTACCTTCATTCGCATTGATCCCACGTACTAGTAGGTACTTAGTCACAGGAAATGACATATAACTTACCTTTTTAGTTCTTATATTTTGCCAACTTAATCGCGACGAAATAGGTGTTTCACTCAATTTGACGCAAATAGTCTTCATGGCCAGCGTTTTGGGACACAATTCAATTCTGGGTCAAAGAGAACTATTTTTCGGCAGATCCAAAATTTTGGGGGGANGGGGGGGGGGGGGGGGGGGGGGATTCCCATAACTTGCACACTTACGCGGGAACACGATGCGGCTTTGATGAAAAAAAACGCAAGTCCCATGGACAGTTTTCTTTCTCTCTCGCTCTTATTCGTGAGCCACCTGGCTATTTTCTGTCTCTCTCACATACCTAAGCGTCCCGCCTGCCTGTTTTCTGTCTCTCTCGCACACCGAAAAGTCCTACCAGGCGATTTTCTATCTCTCTCCCACACTTAGGAATCCCGCCAAGGGCAACCGAGGGTGCAACCACTCTCAGAGAGTCGCGGGGGAACGCGACGCGACTTTGTCGTAAAAACAACGCAAGTCCAGCCGGGAGATTTTCTTTCTCTCTCGCACTTATGCAAGTGACGCTTGCCTATTTTCTATCTCTCTCGCATACTTGAGCGAGCCGCCTGGCTGTTTTCTATCTCTCTCACAAACCTGCTATGCGTCCCGCCTGGCTGTTTTCTGTCTCTCTCGCACACCCAAGCGTCCTACCAGGCGATTTTCTATCTCTCTCGCACACTTAGGCCTCCCGCCAAGGGCAACCGAGGGTGCAACCACTCTCAGAGGGTCGCGGGGAACGTGATGCGCCTTTGTTGTAAAAACAACGCAAGTGCAGCCGGGCGATTTTCCTTCTCCGTCGCACTCATGCGAGTGACGCTTGGCTATTTTCTATCTCTCTCGCACACTTGAGCGAGCCGCCTGGCTGTTTCCTGTCTCTCTCACACACACCTAAGCGTCCTACCAGGCGATTTTCTATCTCTCTCGCACACTTGAGCGAGCCCCTTGGCTGTTTTCCGTCTCTCCCACACACATGAGCGAGCCGCCTGGCTGTTTTCTGTCTCTCTCGCACACCCAAGCGTCCTACCAGGCGATTTTCTATCTCTCTCGCACACTTAGGCTTCCCGCCAAGGGCAACCGCGGGTGCAACCACTCTCAGAGGGTCGCGGGGGAACGTGATGCGCCTTTGTTGTAAAAACAACGCAGGTGCAGCTGGGCGATTTTCCTTCTCCCTCGCACTCATGCGAGTGACGCTTGGCTATTATCTATCTCTCTTGCACACTTGAGCGAGCCGTCTGGCTGTTTTCTGTCTCTCTCACACTCACCTAGGCGTCCTACCAGGCGATTTTCTATCTCTCTCGCACACTTGAGCGAGCCGCCTGGCTGTTTTCTGTCTCTCTCGCACACTCAAGCGCCCTACCAGGCGATATTCTATCTCTCTCGCACACATGAGCGAGCCGCCTGGCTGTTTTCTGTCACTCTCGCACACCCAAGCGTCCTACCAGGCGATTTCCTATCCCTCTCGCACACTTAGGCGTCCCGCCAAGGGCAACCGAGGGTGCAACCACTCTCAGAGGGTCGCGGGGGATAGTGATGCGCCTTTGTTGTAAAAACAACGAAAATGCAGCCGGGCAATTTTCCTTCTCCCTCGCACTCATGCGAGTGACGCTGGGCTATTTTCTATCTCTCTCGCACACTTGAGCGAGCCGCCTGGCTGTTTTCTGTCTCTCTCACACACACCAAAGCGTCATACCAGGCGATTTTCTATCTCTCTCGCACACTTGAGCGAGCCCCTTGGCTGTTTTCCGTCCCTCCCACACACATGAGCGAGCCGCCTGGCTGTTTTCTGTCTCTCTTGCACACTTAAGCGTCCTACCAGGCGATTTTCTATCTCTCTCGCACACTTAGGCGTCCCGCCAAGGGCAACCAAGGGTGCAACCACTCTCAGAGGGTCGCGGGGGAACGTGATGCACCATTGTTGTAAAAATAACGCAAATGCAGCCGGGCAATTTTCCTTCTCCCTCGCACTCATGCGAGTGACGCTGGGCTATTTTCTATCTCTCTCGCACACTTGAGCGAGCCGCCTGGCTGTTTTCTGTCTCTCTCACACACACCTAAGCGTCCTACCAGGCAATTTTCTATCTCTCTCGCACACTTGAGCGAGCCCCATGGCTGTTTTCCGTCTCTCTCACACACATGAACGAGCCGCCTGGCTGTTTTCTGTCTCTCTCGCACACCCAAGCGTCCTACCAGGCGATTTTCTATCTCTCTCGCACACTTAGGCGTCCCGCCAAGGGCAACCGAGGGTGCAACCACTCTCAGAGGGTCGCGGGGGAACGTGATGCGCCTTTGTTGTAAAAACAACGCAAATGCAGCCGGGCGATTTTCTATCTCTCTCGCACACTTGAGCGAGCCCCTTGGATGTTTTCCGTCTCTCTCACACACATGAGCGAGCCGCCTGGCTGTTTTCTGTCTCTCTCACACACACCAAAGCGTCATACCAGGCGATTTTCTATCTCTCTCGCACACTTGAGCGAGCCCCTTGGCTGTTTTCCGTCCCTCCCACACACATGAGCGAGCCGCCTGGCTGTTTTCTGTCTCTCTTGCACACTTAAGCGTCCTACCAGGCGATTTTCTATCTCTCTCGCACACTTAGGCTTCCCGCCAAGGGCAACCAAGGGTGCAACCACTCTCAGAGGGTCGCGGGGGAACGTGATGCACCATTGTTGTAAAAACAACGCAAATGCAGCCGGGCAATTTTCCTTCTCCCTCGCACTCATGCGAGTGACGCTTGGCTATTTTCTATCTCTCTCGCACACTTGAGCGAGCCGCCTGGCTGTTTTCTGTCTCTCTCACACACACCTAAGCGTCCTACCAGGCGATTTTCTATCTCTCTCGCACAATTGAGCGAGCCGCCTGGCTGTTTTCTGTCTCTCTCGCACACTCAAGCGCCCTACCATGCGATATTCTATCTCTCTCGCACACATGAGCGAGCCGTCTGGCTGTTTTCTGTCTCTCTCGCACACCCAAGCGTCCTACCAGGCGATTTTCTATCCCTCTCGCACATTTAGGCGTCCCGCCAAGGGCAACCGATGGTGCAACCACTCTCAGAGGGTCGCGGGGGAACGTGATGCGCCTTTGTTGTAAAAACAACGCAAATGCAGCCGGGCAATTTTCCTTCTCCCTCGCACTCATGCGAATGACGCTTGGCGATTTTCTGTCTCTCTCGCACACTTTAGCGAGCCGCCTGGCTATTTTCTGTCTCCCTCGCACTTACAGGCTTTATATCTGGGCGATTTTCTATCTCTCTCGCACTTATACGCTTGCTACCTTGGCGATTTTCTGTCTCTCTCGCACTGGAAACGGGGCAACCGACGGTGCAACCACTCTCGGAGGGTCGCGGGGGAACGCGATGCTGCTTTTGTGGAAAAACCACTCAAGTCCCGCCTGGCTATTTGCTGTCTCTCTCGCACTTATAGGCTTGCTACCTCGGCGATTTTCTGTCTCTGTCACACCGGAAACGGGGCAACCGAGGGTGCAACCACTCTCGGAGGGTCGCGGGGGAACGCGATGCTGCTTTGGCGGAAAAACCACCCAAGTCCCGCCTGGCTATTTGCTGTCTCTCTCGCACTTATAGGCTTCCTACCTGGGCGATTTTCTGTCTCTCTCGCTCACTTTAGCGAGCCGCCTGGATATTTTCTGTCTCTCTTGCACTTATAGGCTTCATACCTAGGATATTTTCTGTCTCTCTCGCACACTTTAGCGAGCCGCCTTGCTATTTTCTGTCTCTCTCGTACATATAGGCTTCCTACCTAGGATATTTTCTGTCTCTCTCGCACATATAGGCTTCCTACCGAGGATATTTTCTGTCTCTCTCGCACACTTTAGTGAGCCGCCTGGCTATTTTCTGTCTCTCTTGCACTTATAGGCTTCCTACCTGGGCGAGTTTTTATCTCTCTCGCACGTATACGCTTGCTACCTCGGCGATTTTCTGTCTCTGTCACACCGGAAACGGGGCAACCGAGGGTGCAACCACTCTCGGAGGGTCGCGGGGGAACGCGATGCTGCTTTGGCGGAAAAACCACTCAAGTCCCGCCTGGCTTTTTGCTGTCTCTCTCGCACTTATAGGCTTCCAACCTGGGCGATTTTCTGTCTCTCTCGCACACTTTAGCGAGCCGCCTGGCTATTTTCTGTCTCTCTCGCACTTATAGGCTTCCTACCAGGCAATTTTCTATCTCTCTCGCACACTTGAGCGAGCCCCTTGGCTGTTTTCCGTCTCTCTCACACACATGAGCGAGCCGCCTGGCTGTTTTCTGTCTCTCTCGCACACCCAAGCGTCCTACCAGGCGATTTTCTATCCCTCTCGCACACTTAGGCGTCCCGCCAAGGGCAACCGAGGGTGCAACCACTCTCAGAGGGTCGCGGGGGAACGTGATGCGCCTTTGTTGTAAAAACAACGCAAATGCAGCCGGGCAATTTTCCTTCTCCCTCGCACTCATGCGAATGACGCTTGGCGATTTTCTGTCTCTCTCGCACACTTTAGCGAGCCGCCTGGCTATTTTCTGTCTCCCTCGCACTTACAGGCTTTATATCTGGGCGATTTTCTATCTCTCTCGCACTTATACGCTTGCTACCTTGGCGATTTTTTGTCTCTCTCGGACTGGAAACGGGGAAACCGAAGGTGCAACCACTCTCGGAGGGTCTCGGGGGAACGCGATGCTGCTTTTGCGGAAAAACCACTCAAGTCCCGCCTGGCTATTTGC